ATTTTGCAGTTCACTGTTGTGAACTCCTTATTTCCCCTGTACTATAATGACAATTGCAAGAAGAGAATTTTCATTTTTACACTTTTGCACTTATGCTGATTTGCACATCTGCTTACTGCTTACTCTTCAACAATCCGTAGAACCAACTGCATCACGTTGGCACCATATCTTCTGATATGCACATATATTTTCATTTCATTTTCATTCCCGCCTTCACTAGAATATATCCATCCATTTATCTATCTATCTGTTTGCAGGTCGACCAGCTAAAGGAAAACCCATAGAACCCTGGAAATCTCTATTAGGTGAGTCGATATGGTTGTACACCTGTTCAGTGAGTCATTCACTCGCTCACTCAAACACTTACTCCATTATATCGTTATTTGTACTGTCGTATTGTATCTGAAAGGCACCATCAGAAGTAATCGTAGCAGTCATTATTCAGTTGTTTTTATATTTAGTGAATGATATACTCTGTCAGCTGACGAATTCATCAAGCTACGCAAGTCAATCTGTCATCAAGGTGTAGTAATTGACACGGGTTTTGGATTCAATCGGCTAGTACATTCCTATTCATGTATCACTGTGGTGGCCTCATTATAAATCAATAAGTGTACCTCCTCGAGTAGAGAGGGATCCATCTTAGTCAATCTGTCAGTTGGCGATGTGTTCTGTATTTCAACATGCATCACCTTCGCTTATTATCTCACCTTCTGATTTTGTGTGGTATTATTGTTTTTCATGTTTCTGTAATTTCTCATTTTCAGGTATGTACTGAGACTGGTTGGAGACTTGGTGAAGTTGGGGCATGCATGCACACACGCGAGCATGAGATGCAGTGCATTACAACTTCTTCATTCTTAATAGTATCATTTTTTAGCTAATGGCTGAATAAATCTTCCAAATGAAATAATAGTTTTGTTTTATCTTCCTTCTTACTGTGTATTGTCGCCTTCATCGACGCTTCAGTGTTTCTTGCCAACTGAGTCGACATTCTTTTTATTACAGCTTCATTCCACACTGTAATTTATTGTACTAGTATGGAATTTTCAGCCTGTGATATCGGTAGGCTAAATTTTGCTGGCCGAACATAGATATCAGGTTTACGTCGGTAGAGGATCGAACCCGGATCATGTGCATCGTCGGCAAGCGTCCTAACCGCGAAACCATCGAAAATGTTTACTCTGGTCGTGTTTGGGTTTCTCGCTGTCTTTCCATCTCTATTCAAATGAGGTTAATCATGAAATCGTGACTATTTCGCTGTGATTGTCATTGGTAATTTTACGGTCAATGATGAGATAGATGTACAGCATAGTTTGTTCTCCATGTTATACTCACAAAACTCCCAGTGATATCCTCACGTTTCCAAGTATTTCAATCTCTCATTTTTCAGTTATTCGTACTGTTCAATTACTTTCCATATGAACGTAGTTTTAGAAGCGTAATCCTCCTTGCATTGATTGATAGATATATGACAGAAGTTACTTTGGCGATATAAAATAATGCAATGTATTTCAGATGACAGGTGTTGGGAGTAATTACACTGGTGGAATGAATGATGTTACTGGCTGGTGGGCATTAAACACAGGTTTAATGAATGTGCCGATTGGAATGAACCGATTGTGAAACAAATAGGTAGGAAGAAATGGAGATAGATTGGCCATACGCTGAGGAAACCATCAGGTGACATCACTAGACAAGACCTCGTGTGGAACCCGAAAAGGAGGCGGCGAGTTGGTCGTCCAAGGGTGACTTCGATGAGGTCATGCGAGGAGGAGATGAAAGCATATGGACAGACCTGGGGCGGGGTGAAAAAGTTTTCAGAAAACAGAAGGCAATGGAGGTGCGCAGCTGAAGCCCTATGTTCCTCTAGGAACTAAAGGATACAATAATAATAATTAATGAGTGAAGTGTATTTTGGAGTATTACAAAGGTAATCCTAGACGTGTGATTAAACTAGTGATGAAGAATACTTCGATCAGACTTGTGTGATGGTGTCTCATTGAGGCGTATGGATCATGAACACGACGATGGTTTTGATATCTTCAATGTAGTTGGGAAGGGAGGATTTGTGGTTTGACGGATAGGTGAACGACACAAGAAAAATCATTTATTCAAGTGTTTAACTGAGCAAGTGCAGTTGTTACTTCTATCTTTGTTAAAGGAATGATTAAGAGTGAATACATAACATATTTATAAATTATTAAGTAATCTCAACCACTGTATCAGATGAATGCTACCAGATTTGCAACAATGTTATTCTCATAAGAATCTTCCAGTGGGTACTGTGTTAAACGGCTGATGAATAACCTGACTAGTGCCTAGTCTATCAGCTAATGACTTCAAGTCTCAACTAAATTGTTCCCAGTGTCATCACCTCTTCGTCACTCGCATCTACAATCACCCACCCAAGTTTTCTGATTTTCTGTCTACACTTGTCCTTGATGTACTGCTATACTGGTCAACTAGCATCCTTTCGTTTTCCTGCTTTTTTCTACATGCTCACGATTCCTCCCTGCTTAAAGTCTTACCGATTTATTCTCTTGACTTATCTTCCCTAATCTATAAAATGACATCAGTAGATTTTCATTTCTTCAGTGAGACGAAAAGCATCCCTGACTTCACCAGTGATTCATTATGCCTAATTTCGGATGAGTAGTGGACTCATTGTATATGATCTTTAGAAATTCATCAAAGTCCTTGGTCTGCTCTCAGGTGTTCAGCGGTTTCCTCATTTTATGAACATTCACTAAAGCGTACATGAACACTTGTAAAGGAATTAATGAATTCAAAGCTAAAGAATTCATAATTTTTCTAGGTTAATAAAAATATTAACTTTCAAAACTGGATATCATATATAATTGTGACGACCTGAGATCATTTTCGCTGCCCTCTCTTTAGTATACTGTGATCTGACTACGAGTGTTTTCTAATACCAATCTTGTTGAATTTTCATCGCGATGTGTGCAGTTCCCAATCGATGCCTCTGTCAATTTTAAATACATTTCAATGTTTTTCGATATTGACGACAGAGCTCAGTCAGTTTCCACCTGTGTCCCACTTGTAAACAGGCATCGACTGGATCGGTTTTGTTGGTTGCCTGCGATTATTGAGAAATATCACACAGAAAAAGAGCTGATGGAGGAGACTGTTCGTATGTCAGGTGATGTGGTTACAAATCAGACGTTTCAGTAACTTTGAAATGAACGAGAGCAGTGCTATAGTTGTGTGATTCATGGAGTTCCTGGGTCTTGACACTTTCAAACATGAGAGGGGATATCTTCACACTTAAGTTTACTTGTTGGGTGAGTCATAGCTTTTCACTCAGAATCTCTAATGAGTTTATGTGGAGAAGAAATACTTCGTTTATATTTAGTGACTTTATTGTGCAGTGATTTTGCAGAAGAACTGTATTACTCACTGATATGTATCCACATATAGATATATATATATATATGTGTGTGTGTGTGCATGTTGGTCTCTCTTTCTGTTTGCTCGGTTAGTCTGTGACCACTTCACTTGTATGGACTTGTCTCCTTTAATAATGTGTATTCTCCTTATATTATATTATATATAATATGAGTGTTTGTTGACAGTCCGTTGCTTGGTGACATATATCCATATATGTTTGTTGGCATGTCTGCTATATTCGCTGTGTATAATTGGATCGACACTCCATTATAATTAGCCATTCATGTTAAGACTGTCTAATGATTTTTCCCACGCTTGTCTGAATTATTTATATATATTCGCATTCACAATTTGTGTCAACTACCTTACAACTACTTTACTTACTTACCACTTTGGTGTGAGACCATTTATTTTCGTCTCCTTGTGTTTGGACAATAGAAGTATCATCGCAAACCTAGTGGTCTTCTGATTTCCGCCTTCTCGTGTCAGGACTATTAGTTTCTCGACCAGTCCATAACAATAATTTAGCGACGAGTACATAACACTCACACTATTCTTTATTTATCTATCAAAGACCAAACTGAAGACTTCTTCATTCATTTAGGCCTCTCATTTTGCATCCCATTCGGCAGGCGGGTCTTCTTCCCGACAGGTATCGGTGCAAATTCTCAAAGTTTGTGAGCAGTTTCCTGACAAAATCTTCCCGAAATGTTCCACCAATTACACAGGGGAATCGAAACCAGTGTGAATTTTCTGGAAGTGGCGACTGCTGAACTTGTATGCATCCAAGTCGAACACTGAAGTCTGTAACCTCTACGCCTTCTTGCTCATGATTCCTGTCTTACCGAAGTTCTCACAACCTCCTCTCATATACTAACTACATAGTCGGTGATAACATTACTCAGTCATGTTTCTTGGTTTTTTCAAATTTGATTTGGAATGATTCATAGCACTCACCATAGGACACAGATGTAACGAAACTCTCGCTTCATGAGACATCGTGATTTATGTCCTCTGCTTTCATAAGATTTGCGGTCGACTGTCTCAGTGTCCTATGTGCTTCTCCTAATACGGCTAGACCGGCTTCATTGAAAAGATTTTTCGTGTAAGTTTGAATCAAGAGTCAGAAGATTTTCGTGATCAAACAGCTGTCTACTTTCTGGTGTGCTGAAACTGCATACGAATACGGGTTGAAAATAAGACGAATTGACCGATAATTCTTCTCCTTGTCCTCCATCGCGGAGTGCTCACAGAAAGTCCCTAAAGTCTTCCTCCTTAAGGGGGTTCGATGTTTGGCTCTTCTGTGACCCAGTCAATTCGCTTATACTACCTTGTGTCATAACACCGGTTTTTTATGGATTCGTGAGACAGATATATTGAAGATAACTGAAGCATCAGAGATATTAGTGATCCTGTATTGTCAGTCTCGTCTCATAAACCGTTAATGCCCAGCTCTCGCTACGCTCGGGCCCACGCTGTTCCTTTGAGTTTCAGAAACGCTTAGTAATAACGGACGCAAAAACCAAAACACCGATCTGCTGCTTGTTATTTCTTTATTGTTACACCAACATATAAAAGGAATAAACGAACTAAGGTCTGTAAACAAATATTACAATAATAAATCATAAGATTACTTCTGACGATGTTTCACTCTTCTTTCTGAACAGCGACCGATGAGACGATGACTGTCGTATTGATGCCTCCGCGAAAATTGGGGAAGTTGATTTTGAGCAAACAACCAAGAATTGATCGTTCAATCTTCAACTCCATTGACACTCCCCGGCAAAAAAGGGATCCAACCCTTTTTTCCTTCACGACCAATGCACGTTGACTTGGATGCCATTGCGAGAACCTGGGTCACACGGACAGAGCTGAAATGGAAAACAAACAGAAAAGCCAACACACCACAAGCATACCCACAGCACAATCTCACACATCAATGACGACCTGCGCCTCCAGACAGAGACCTCCTCTTGACATCTTGCAACACAATCGCCACTTGCTAGAATGACTCTTGCAGAATGCAATGTGACCATAGCACCACCTCACGATACTCTACGCACATCCTTATCTACTCACTACCAATTACCACTGAAATCGCTTGTCACTCATTCTGCCTCAGTTCTAGTAGCGGTGACGCATGCGAGCCTCAGTCGTTTACACTCTTTCTCCCCGGCGTGTCGGACCGCAGCTAACAATTATCTCCGTGTGCATTTCATTCTCAGCAATAGCCTAGCCTCCCCGGCGTATACGACCCATCTGCTGTCTCTAACATCAATCAATTCATTCACGGATGTAGAAGAGTGGAAACAACTTCAGAAGTAATCACGACGAAAATTTTAACAAAATTACGCAATAACAACAAGATACGAAAACAACAAGTAAACACAATGAATCCAAAAACACCAATTGATATGACACACCACACGTATATACAAATAGTACAAAAACCTCGCGGATCATGTCTTGGTGGAATTCCTTTGAAGAATTGCAGGACTTACACCAGTACGCCTGCAACCCTTCACAGGTTGACGATTGTAAGTTGTGGAATGTCCAGACACAAACAAGATTAACCAACAATTACATCAATTGGAACTCACACAACTATTTAACACAAACATATGTACAATCAACACATCAAATGTTGTGGATTCTGACACGACAAACTACCCTTGAAGAACTGTAGGACTTACAGCAGTACGCCTACATTCCTTCTCAGGTTGATGATCCAAGTGGAAGTCGTCCGGACACAAACAGAATTACCAACAGCTAGATGACAGATGATATCAATTCAGTATATACAATATGAACATATGTACAAGATCATACACCAAGCACATTGGACTGCTCATTGATGCGCTACCCTTTGAAGAACTGTAGGACTTACACCAGTACGCCTACAACCCTTCTCAGGTTGACGCCCTAGGTTGGAAAATCGTCGCAGAGTTCATTTGCTAACTTCCTTCTATCAGCTATATCCTCAAATCTGAACGGCAACACGCCCATGTCATTGTATCGTAGAATATAGATGACCAACAAACACACGACATATCTCATCAACCAAGGTAGAAACAGAGTAATTTACACCAAAGATAATAACATTCAAATAGTAACTTGAAACTAGAAATGCCTTTATTCGTGCAAGTCAATTTAACAATAACTCTCTCCTTTACACTTGGCTTATCCACACTAAACTGACCAATATCTTTCGTCCTTTCAAACGAACCAATACTACCATAGTCATTGCACAAGATACTTGAGTTGATGGGCATCTGTTTCATTGTGGATGAAAACACCAACGATGACTGAGTGACACAAGGTGATGAACTTAGCGGTGGATCAGAAGCTGTTCTTTTCGGCTTTCAGATAGTTGTCCAACTGCAAGATTACCACCACTGCTGTCTTTCACTACTAGTTCGGGTTTAGCACTATCATCTGATGATAGGTGGGCTACACGCTGATCAATTACACTGACTGTCTCACAAGTATGCACACTTTTGGAACTGCATCTGCGTTCAATTCTACTTCACGTTGTAGTTGTACAGAACCTTTATTTAACTTAGCAGTAGTAGGCATATCCCTCATCTCATAATGATCAACCAAAGACAACTGTGAAGTATCATGATCATTATCACGAATATTCACTTTACCGTCAACTTCATCATTTTCAAACTCTTTAATAACAGAAGTAGACAATTTTGGTTCCTCCTCGCAAATCATAAAAGGTTTTATAACTTCACTCTGACTAGTAATACCTTGTAAACTTTTGGAGTCAGAACTCCACTCTGAAGCAGTAACTCTATTCTGTGACACTCTATTCAACAACGGCTTACCAGTTGCAACTACAGACTTCTTCACAACACCGTTATCGTCACACAATTCGGAGTCAGACCTGGAGTTTACATTTAGCTTATCACTGAACTTGCTCACTGGTTCACAGTTCACTTCTGTATGCACCTCTTGCACACGTGTAAAACAAACCGTGTTTGTCTTGCATCTTGTAACTTATCTGTTGAGGATGTACTACGAAACCTGTTACACTCACTAGGTCTATATGCATTACTAGACATCATGGAGCTTCTCGATATCCACCTCTCTGAGGCTTATTCGTCATCAATGAGTGCGTTTTACCCTCAGACTGCTCTATTCTAGGGGTGAGATCTAACAGACTGGAAAACTTGCTCATAGATTGATTGACACTAGTATTTACCAGTTTCAGGATATCATCAAACTTTGGCTCGATACCCTCATCCTCCATACGGGAGCTTATCTTCACCCACTTCCTTTGCAGTCGAGTAGGTAGACGTCTTGCTATTACTTCTAGTATAAAACTCGAGTTGAGGTCACTCATTCGATTCATCGAAATCATTCCATTCTTGTAAATTAGCAAATTATCTAAAAACTCAGTGAGTGCCTGGGAGTCATCCTGTAATTGACCACCATTACCCTTAACAGCCTCGAATAATTTCCCTGCAATCATCGAAGGTCTTCCAAACCTTTGACGTAATATGCTCATAGCCCATCGTAGCCCTCTTTTGGCTTCATAAACTTACAACACTGTATAGCTCTTGCAGCATCTCCAGTGCAATATCTCATCAAATACATTAACTTCAATTCATCATTTAATAAAAAACCACTCAACATGATCTCAAACTCCTTTACAAATTGTAAATAATCAGCCGGGTTTCCATCAAAACATCGTGGTTCAAATTTAGGGAGTTTGATGTTCCTATTATCCCTGAACGGCGAAACAGTAACATCAACCATGTCATGCTTAACATCAGACACATCGTTACAATTAACAGACAAGTCACCATGACTTACTTTCCTGTTTGCATCCAAGACACTCTGTCCCTTCTTTGACCCAGGCATTGTTGAACTTGACCCAATTCCAAAAAGTTCCAGATATTGCTTGTTCAAAGAGGACTTGACCGGCACCAGGAAAAATGAACGGCGACTATCCAAACTTTCACCAACTGTTTCAATCCGCCAGATCTGTTTCTATCGTCAGAAACTGTCAGTCTCGTCTCATAAACCGTTAATGCCCAGCTCTCGCTACGCTCGGGCCCACGCTGTTCCTTTGAGTTTCAGAAACGCTTAGTTATAACGGACGCAAAAACCAAAACACCGATCTGCTGCTTGTTATTTCTTTATTGTTACACCAACATATAAAAGGAATAAACGAACTAAGGTCTGTAAACAAATATTACAATAATAAATCATAGATTACTTCTGACGATGTTTCACTCTTCTTTCTGAACAGCGACCGATGAGACGATGACTGTCGTATTGATGCCTCCGCGAAAATTGGGGAAGTTGATTTTGAGCAAACAACCAAGAATTGATCGTTCAATCTTCAACTCCATTGACATGTATAGTATTTTATAACTGCCTCAATACCTCCTTGTTGCACCGATAGTACACCTACAGTATGAAGAAGTTTCAATCGAAGGCGAAGTCAGTTGTGGTGGCAACAGAATGACAGGTGAGGGATTCATCACAATTAGAAATCAGCATTTCTTGGGTTTTAGTCTTTTGATGTTTTACCAATGTTTCTTTCACAGTTTTGTTAGAAGTAACAGATAGGAAGCTAACGGAGTATTGACTAGTGTAATTTCCACTTGAATGAGTGAGTAATGCGCATCTATAATTCGTGGTTTGACTATCAGCCGTGTTTGGGATGTTGTGATGTGAGCCATCTCTCTTCTCCGATCTCATTCAATGTGATTTACTCGTTAATTTGCAGTGGATCATACAGTCGACGAAAAGCAGTCTAGGCTGAAATTAAAGAATAAATACGAATCAATCTAAGACTAACTGAATATTTTTCAAGTACATCTGAGGATGCATTCATCTACTTTGCCTTTATTTTCAACGATCCAGTAACTGAAGGTGCTCAGACTCCATTTTGAACTCCTTACTTGATGTTGAACTCTGCAGGAAAACGATACTTACCAAATTTTGCTTGTGGTAACGATAATGCTTTGTTTTATTGTGGAATGAGTGTGGCTGCAGAATATGTTCAATGTACCCTTGATTCCTTTGTTGATTATTGTGTATACTTGACAGGTAAAACTAATTTTTCCTACTGTTTCCGTTGTGCGTCTATGCTTTTTGTTATTTCTATACTGTAGTATGAAATTCCGGTGATTTGAATTCGTGATAAGGTTCGTCTCGGTAATTCCGAATCCCTCTTCAATTTAGTTTTTCGAACATAATGCCTAAGGTGTGCTGGAGAACATTTCAACCAAGCTCAGTTAGTAGCAGGTTGGATGAAGACTGTGATAATCTCTATAGTGACTAGTCCATTTTTCTCTTTATAGACGGATTTCTCAGTGATCCCATTATTCCTTCTTTTCATGTTGATTTCTAGAAAGTAGAACTGTCTGTTGTCTTCATGCTCCATAATAAGTGTGATGTGAAAATAAGCCGAAATACGGTTTTCCAGCGTGTTCAGTATTGCTGCAAACAAAAAGCATGTCCACATTCCTGCAGTGGAAGGTGATCCTATCTAATTTCTTTTCTTTTTGATTATACGTTGATTCTACACCGTATTTTTGGTACAAGTATAGCATTTTCAGCGTGTCACATCGATAGCCTAAATTTTACAGACTGTCCAATGATATCAGCTGTGCGACGGCAGATAATCTAACCCCAAAACATGCACATGGTCGGCGAGAGCTCTAACCGCTGTGCTACCGACTTCATTTGAAATTGTTCAAGATGACTTAGGAATATATCGTCACGAACAGGATCCACATGGAATACATAACCGACCTCGTCAATTCGGTGTTACAGCTGGTTGTCAAATCGGAATGTCACATCATTTGTTCAAAGTTGTGTAAGTTTTCGCGGCTCATTTTGAGGCAGATGGAATAGTCTTCTCTCTCTCTCTCTCTCTGGAGTGTGATTTTCAGCATTTCTTGCGTGTGTATTCTTCTGAACACAAAACAGACATTATAGGACACAAGCAGTGTGTCTGAAGTATTCAATTCATTTTATTTTTGTGAAAAATGGAAGGAATCATTGACACAGTATATGGCCAACACTCTTCAAACCCGTAGTAATATTTGTGCCATCAATACAGCCAGCCAACCAGTCAGGTTACGGTGGGGTGATTTCCTCATTGATATTATCGGCCAGAACGACACAGGATATTTGTAGACGTTCGGTTGAACTTACAAACATGAATTGTACGCGTGAACCCAATGATTTAAGTTGATGATTAATGCTTTCGTCTATTTCACCTTCTTTCACCACTTCGTTGAGGTGTTGTTTAGCCTTCTTTGTGAAGAGTAATGCTGTATCCTCTTTTTCCGTGCTCACCTGGAAACCGGTCACCTCATTGAGAAGTGTTGTCATTTTGAAGATGTATTCCTACTGCTTCGTTGTTAAGACGCCAGAAGCTTTGTCTGGCTGATGCATAATGATCTCATGGGTGTTTCACATGTTGTTTCAATGCTAGCCTATGCTGTTAAGCAAATCATTTCGATAGTGTTGGGGGAAACTTGAAGTACTCTCATCTCTCTCATAGTGTTTTTTTTCGACAACGCTAGTCATGTATTGTGTGCGTCGGTTGTATAGCGGTTAGCACGCTCGCCGACCATGCATATGGTCCGGGGTTCGATCCTCGGCCGGCGCACTCCTTTACCTCACTGAGCCAGAAATGCTGGCAAAGAGGAATGGTTGGGCATAAGGCTAGCAACTCCATCCTGTAAATACTAAACACTGCTACAGAAACTTCAAGCCACTAGCTTGAAGCCATATGTTCCACTGGGAACGTGAAGGAAAAATTTATCAATTATTATTAGTCATGTATTAGTAAAAAAACATCGTATTATTCAACTTCCAGTAAAAATAAGGGTGATACCAACTAAACAGCTTCACCGACTGACGGCGCCAAACAGTGATTTTATAAATTATAAAAATGTGAAGAGTAGATGGATAACATGAACAACTGGAACACAAAGCACGGATGATTTTTCGCCCCTCTTTCAAACATCTATTCCAGCAGTTTGAAAATAAAATGAATACGGAAAGTTGAAATAAATTGGATGACAACTGTGAATGCAGATTATGACTCAAGGATTTCATTGAATAATGAAAGAAAAAACAACGTGTATGAGTGTAAGAAAGAGATGCATTTTGAGGGACAGAATTGTGGTCAGTGGTCAGTGCAGTGATATAATTAGGCGTCTAGAAGTGACTGGTTAGCAATCATATTATCATGCCTGATCCAAGAAAAAACTGTTGAACATATTGATTTTTTTCCAAGACAGTGAATAAAATCACCTCCTCATTCGATAACAAAGTAAGCTGAAGCAGAATGAAGCAGATTACAGCGTTTCCGTTCAAGTAGTATACGCTGAACCATAACATCATGAATACAATCCATGGCTTCCTTATCAAAATAATTATTATTACTGGTTGATAATTTTGTTGAACACACACAAGATGACTACGAATGAAATGATGAGTGTTTAACGTGCTGGTTGTGATGTTCTTTACCTACACTATACCAATCTTATAAAAGGTCGAATGCAGAAAAACTCTTCAGTCAATGAACAACCTAATTTTTAAGCGTTTATAACAAAATGCAAGCCAAAAGTTCCAAATATTCTCGAGTATGTACTGATGGTAAGATTTTAGAACTTCTTTCATTAGTGGAGCTCAACCACGGTCCGAGATTGTGTGTGCGTGATAGCAGCACAAGGAAGTAGTCTGTAGTAGTGTCAGTCACAGACTGTCCTGATGCATGTCAGTGCAAAATCAGACTTCAAACCCCATACAAGTAGTTCCCTTTCTCAGTTCGAACGAATGAGGGACAAGCATATTGACACGATAATATGGGCTTATTTCATTTCACTGCCTTGCTTCAACTGCGTACATACAGAAACGAATTCCACACGAAATGTCTTGAAGCTGGTAAGTTTCCACGTCACTCGGTCAAGCTCATCGATTCAAAATAGTCTGCGTCCTATCACTAAATCGCATAACGTTTCATCTCGGAATCATATCAACGCTCTGAGGTCAGATCTAATCTGATAGATCCGATAGTCTCCCGAAAAGTAACAATTTGATATATCGCATAAGGTTTATTGAATTAATACAAGACTCACAGATGGCAACCACGGATTCATATCGAAAGTAAGGCAGAATGTCTTTATAAGTGCAGAATCCACAAAAAGAAGAAAATTAGATAATGGAGAAAAATGGTTACTTTTGACACTGTCAGTTTATATATGCGTAAATCAATGAATATATCTACAGAGGCAGTCAGAAACAAACTCATTTCTGACCAAGTATTCGAACTTAGGAAAAAAGTGCCAACTGAGGACATAATCCTGGGAGTGCAGCCATGCATGACTTTCACAGTATTTAAATTTCAAGAGAAAATATACAAACAAATTGAAGGGGTTACCTTGGGATTACGAATATCCCCGGTTGTAGCAGTTATATTCATAGACAGGTGGGAATGCATAGTGATTGAATCGTTCACCCCCACCCCAAAAGTATGATGGAGGTATGCAGATGACACATTCACTGTACTAAGAACACAAGATATAGATAGAGTTTTCGAACGCATCAAGTCAAAGGTGGAGGCAATTCAACTCACTTATGAATTGGAAAGTCAGGAAGGAAGGGAAGCTTCCAATGTTAGATTGTAACGTAAAAGGGAAAGAAGATGGGAAGTTAAACACTAGTGTTTACAGGAAACCCACACATTCAAACAGATACTTGGACTTCAGATCATCCCATCCTATGTCAGTGAAAATAGGATCGGTAAAATTTTTAAGTGACAGAGCACGAAAACGAAGTAGTGCCAAGGAAAATCTAAGACTGGAAATGATACACATAAAGGAAGACTTGAAACTTAATAATTATCTGGACGAATTAGTCAGGAAATATGTAAAGAAATCCAAAAATGAAATAAATAATTATAGTAGCGATAGTGATGATAATAAGAATAATAGTAATGATAACACTAATAATGATATTAATAATAATAGTGACAATAATGATAACATCAATTACGACACCAACGAAAAAATATCTAAATCATCAGCAGTAATTCCATACAAGGAAAGAATCTCGAAGCAGGAATAAAAGTGACATTCAAACCCACAAACTCAATTAGAAACAAGCTTTGTCGGTTAAAGGATCCTGACTGTGGAGCCTTTAAAAAAAACAATTTAGTTTATCTAATACCCTGCCGGAATGATTGTGTTTCAGGTGAAATACATAGGTTAAACTA